CTTCAACCCCCAACCCCAGAGCTAGGGAGATCAAGGAGGCCTGTCATAGCTCATGACAGTTGGAGATGGGTATGTTTCCTGGGTATGTTTTCCTGGATATGTTTCCCCAGGAAACAAACTTTTAGATTTAACCTATAAAACATTTATTGGCAAATGTTCTCCAGAACAACACCTGTAGGGAAGTGAAGGAAGCCAGCCAGGTGGAGAAGTTAGAACTTCCATGCAGTTCTTCACAATTGTAAAGAAAGTGATTATACCGGTTGCTCTGGAGCTGTTATTCAGGTGAGGCAAGGAGGGTAGACCTTTGTGTCCCCCTGCAATGCACAGTCATAGGATGTGGGCTGCCCTGAGAGTTCACATGACCTTGAGCTAGGGGGCCTTCTTTGGCTAGGGGCATGGCCTAGAAAAGGGATCAGCTGCCAGCACTCACAGTGGCTGGGGGAGCAAGTGCTGGTTCCAGAAGGGGACCCAAGCAGCATGTCAGTGCCCCCTGTATGGCCATCTCAGGCTCTATCTGCCTATGTACTGTCTATGTCCCTCTGTCCTGACATGACTGTTCTGTGTTCATTCTAATTATCTGATGAGGCTGCTGCCATCCTTCTCCGCAGATGTCCAGGATAGAAATGAAATATGTGACTCTTCTGACCTCAGATTCCCAATATATCCAGGAATTTTTCTCCCCCGCCAACCTCTCCCAACACTCTGGTATCTTATCCCATATCCTCCCTTATCTATGGTTCACAGTACAAACCCTCTGATTGATTCTCCAATTCATGGCTTTTGAGGACCCAACAAATCATTTTATTTCTCCTAACAAAGATTGAACCTTACAAATGTGAGCCTTGATCTCTTGTATATCATTTCTCCTAAAGTAAAAATTTGATTTTCAAGTTTGAAGTTCCAAGTTTACTCCTTTGTACCTTCTCTGCCCCTCTCCCTGGAATGAGGGACCTCATTGATGGACAGGAAGATACAGGACACTTTGGAACAGTAAAACTTTAGTTGGTATTTCATATAAATTATGATCAACTTACAATTGTAGATGACCTCATTTTCTGTCTTGTCAGGAAATGCACATTTCTCACACTGGCCACTCTGTGCACTTGGTAAATTATACAAATATTGAGAGCTCTCGGTTTTACAGAGCCCCACTCACACTTCTTTGGGAGCTGTTCTCTACGTGCCTGAGGAGTGGGCTCGCTAGGGTTTCCAAGGCCTGGAATATTTTCTTCCTGCACTCCAGAGCATTGGTTTGTGCACCTGACTTGGGTGGCTGCTAGTACTGTAAGCCTTTTTGAGCACATGGCCAGGGAGGTAGAGACCTCTCAGTGGTCTCTTTGTAATCTCGTCTGTCCTGAGTCCTATAAGCAGGAACCACAGGGTCTTGTGACCATGCCCAAGTTGGCCTCTCCTTATAATCAAATCTTAATGATCCCTCTTGACCCTACCTAACCTTCCATTCCAAGAATCCCTTTTTAGAATATTAGAAGGGATGATTTATCCTGTCCCCATGGCTCCAAGTGAGAAGGTATAGTTTCCCTTTTTTTCCCTCTAGGCAGTCTCTGAGAACAATCCACTCTCATATTTAGAATTGTTGTCTAAACAGAAGCCCCTACACCCACGGGGATCTGCCCATGTATTCTAAGAGGTCAGGCAATTCTCTCTAGATTTTCCATTTCCATGGATAGTGACTTGGTTTCGGGGCTATCTTGTGTAAGCTGACTTTGGCACTTAGTCTTTCTACTTCAATTGTGTCTATGACTAATGAGAAGAGAGGCAGACCTACTACTCAAATGATGCATCTCCATCGAGCAATTGCCAAATGGTGCCAGCTCCCTGTATAAGGAAAGGCTTCCTAATAATGCACAGAGGAGTCCTCAAGGCATTAGCATGTGCTGAATCAGGGAAGCTGTGTCTCTGTGGGCAGTGTCATACTTTTTAAAATACAAGCAGATATTTTGTTTTATCCAAACATCATCTGTCACATTAAATTCAGGTTGTTATTTTCAGTATTCCATGTTTTCAATTTATGTGGAGTCTAAGTTGTAAACAAACTATAAGCATAGGGAGGTATACCTTCTTTTATGGTTTACATATTTAACTATACAGAACAACTATTGTAAATTCAAATTAAATCAAAATCATTTAAATAAACATGGGAGAGACATTTGGATAAATTTTTGTTGTCCTTCAAAAGCTATTGGTGCACTTCTCAAGTTTAAACACTGTTCTATAGCAGAGAGTCACATCTTGCTTCAATGTATGTGTCAGAATCAGCAGGGAGAGGCTGCACTTAGCACCCTTTTAATATTGTCTTTCCAAAACCACCCTTCTTCCTCTTCTCCTTTCTCTGCCCTACACCATTTATGGGGAATTGACTGAAGAGTCATCATTTCATACTGAGCTCTTAGAATAAGATCAGAAATAAGCTCTGGTCCCTGCCTCCCTCCCCACCATCATGTCTCCCATGCTCAGTGAGCCTGAGCACATTGGCCTGTCTTCATACTTTCTGTGTGTGAAGCTCTTTTCTAGATCAGAGTTGTTTCCTCCTCTCCAGCTGATCTCCTACTTACTTCCCCAGATGTTGCTCACTCATTCTTCAGAGATTGGCTTAAATGTCACTCTGTTAGAGAGGCATCTGAGGAGTATCTGTTGGAAGGAAGGATGGATGGACAGGGGAATGGCTGAATGGATGCTTAAAGATGACTTTCTTGAGCTTGCAATCTAAATAAAACTTTCCCTTAATATTATTTTTATAGCGGTACTTTTTCTTATATAGCACAGCACTTTTCAATGATGTATTGATTTAGTGCATATCTTCCCCAACCCACTGGACTTGATATTCCATAGGGGCAGGTAACTAATAACTTCATACCCACTAGAGGGCATTCCATGTAGAAAAAATCCACTATATCTACACTGAGTAAATGAATGAAAGGAAAACACGAAGGTTACATTTACCTCACTAAAATAGCTGTAAAGTGGGAATAAGGCTTTTTCTAGCACTTTAAAATCTTTCATTTAATGGATTTCATTAACATGGAACAATACAAAAGAATGATGTCTTTTGAGGGAAAGTAACATGTGGTCTTTGACATGAAAGAGAATCACCAGCTGAAACTGCCCTTGTATACAGTCTCAAAGACACTAATCAAAGACAAAATAGAAATTGTAATCGGTATGGTTATATTGATTATACAGTATGATTCTTAACAAAACTCAGTTTTTACTTGGAGAGAAGAGCTCTCGACATATATGTAATTCAGCAGTCAAAAAACCATTTGCTAAAACTAATAGAAAGGAAATTTATTTTTTTCATCTATCTGACATAATTATTATTTTTTCAAATATGGAAGAGGTGACCCCAGAATCACTTGGACACATTCCTTTCCTGCATGTTCAACTCTCAGTCTCTCCTATCTCAACACTGCTCCAAATCCCCAGGAGTGATGGACAGAAAAACCAGCTAATCCAGGTGCCAATAATCGGGAACAGGAGGCAGGCCAGTGCGTCCAGCTGCCACAGTGCCCAGGCAGTCCAGGGCCCCGTACAACTTCCAGCAGGATCAAGGCTACAATTCTAAACTAGCTGGAAATTGCAGGAGCAGGGGCTCAGAGTATTTTGCTGTGTGGTAACCCTAAGCTCTTAGCTTAGCCCAGGCCCTGTGCCTTGGGGAGAGGAGACTGACTTCCCAAGGCCAGAGCTCCCTAAAGATCGCACACCTTCCTGAGTCCACGTTCTTGGAGATGTTGGGCAAGGAACACAGCTCCTTACACATTTACCAGCTTGACTAGAGCTATCAGATTTTTTTTAAGTCCCAGATTTCAAGTCCACCCCATTAATGACCCATTTTATTTTGCAAGAATCACTGTCTATTGTACACTCATCCTTAGGAGGCATGCTTTTATGTAGTACTTTTGAATTTTGTTTTCAAAATGAGTAGGAGGATATTATTTATAATTATCAAAGAACTTTGAGAGAGAATTCATGCAAGAAAGATGAACTCATATTAGGATCGCTAGTATCGGGCAACTCTAAATTTATTTCATCAGTTTGTGGACTCTCACATAGTCCACCTGAGAACACTCAGAGTAATTATTGAAAATAAGATTCCTGAGCCCAACTCAAACCCAGTGAATTAAAATTCACCAAGAGAGTGACCTGGACATATGTATATTCAATAAGTGCCCCTAGTAACTATCATTGGGGAAGTTTCAGGAATGGTCCTACAGAAATGATTCTTCACCAGAAAAATACCTTGGGACACTGGAGAGGCTCTCAGAGTGTATGTGATGGGGTCTCTCTCAGAGAGACTTCTAAGGTAGGGCGTAGTCTGGATAAGCACTTTCTGAAAGTACTTACTAAGGGATTCTCAACTGTACTTTGATAAAGTGTCAGTCATAAAGGAATACTTTATATGGATCTTAAGGGTTAAAGAAGAAAATATTAAAGATGTAAATGTTGGTGCATAATTCTTTCTAGAAGTGGCAAAATTTTTCAGACCAGCAAACACGGCAAGACTGACAAACTGGTATATAGCTGCAGGTTCCAAAATGTTCACTCTATCACAGTCAGGCAGACAGTTGATGAATTACTCTATCATTTGGTGAGTCTGAAATCACTCATGCCATCTGGATTACCCAGATAGTCCTTTTCCAATCAGGAGAATCTTCAAGAGTCCTAGAATTCATGAGGTCCATACACTGCTGTACCCACATTGCTGAATCATATGTCAAACAGAAGTTCTAGTCAATCACATATAAAGTATTGATTTTTAAAATAATAACATCTAACTACCACACTATACACTTGAAAGTAATATAATATTGAATACCAACTTAATTGAAAAAAAATTTTTAATGATATTTATCCACTAATGATTTGCGAACTCAAATATTAGGAAACACAAAGAAAAATACTTTGGATATGCTAAAAGCCCCAGAAAGCCCTGAATATTCACAATAATTAACATTATGTGCTAGTTATTAAGCCCAGAAAAATCCATTCACTTCTCCATTCAATTCAGTGTCTAAACCAGTGAATTTACATTTTGTCTATATCTGCATAATTCTTCCACAGTGTTTTGATTTGAGCTATGAATTTAGTATGTAAATAGTACTAGCTGTATGGGGATGTTTGTACCAAACAATAACAATGAACTAGGTGCTGTGTAAATAGAAAAATAAATTGAAATAAGGTGCTAAGATGCTGAAGATTGGAATTTCAATTTAGTTATTAATAAGCAGTACAATTTCAAAGTTTAAAATAAAATAAATTAAAATGAGCATTGCCAACCTGCTGCCCTACATTTTTCCTTGTATCTTTACAAGTTTTTACATACATACAAATACAGCATGTTACATATACTGGTCTGTACCTTGTTTTTTTCTAACTGATAGATCTTGGGAATTTTTTATCAGTACAGAGAGAATTTTTGTTCCTTTTTGATAATCATGAAATCTAAATTTCAAATAAATTTTATTAAGCTTGAATCAGACCTTCATCTCTCTTTGTCCAAGGCTCACCTGTACATGTGTTTGAGTGTGTGGATGTGTGTGCATTTTAAAAAGATCTGGATGTATCAGTTCAGGGTCTCCAAAAAGCAGATGCCAGGACAGAATTAGACATACAAAAGAATTATGAGGGGAACACATGTGAAAGATAAAAGCTAGAAGAAGCAGGAGTAGGTGGGGAGAGTCTTTAGGTCACCATGCAGCTGTTGGCTGGAGATAGTCCCAGTAGATCATTGCCTCAACATAAACCCTGCTGGGACCCAAAGGTACAGTTGCTAGAGAAAGTTCACCCATCTCCCTGCTTGCAAAAAGTTCTCTTGAAGGGAAATCTGAGCAGTCCATAGCCATGGCCAACACATCTCCCCTTCCATTCCAAAGAGTGCCTTCTCCACACATTTGGGGAGCAGCTCCACACATTTGGGGGCCTCTCTTCTTGAGGGAAAGCTTAAAAAAGTAAAGTTAATAAGACGACTAGGAACTCTGTCTCTGCAGTTGGTCAAGGAGCTGCAAATGCTTATCTTCTGCCTTTCTTCTCTACATCTTTTAATTCACCTCACCCCAAGCTATCATAGCAGCAGGGTCTGGTAGTTTTCCTGGTGGTGTGACCCAAACTTTCATTCCTGGAGAGTCTGAGCCCTTCTCAAAGTGTGGCTGCTGATGCAAATGTTCATAGCTACAAGGAGTCCGTGGAGAACTAGTAAGCAACAAATGGATCACCTGGGTTCTGCACATGTTTTTTTCTGTCCCCGTTGTACAAAAGCCTCTTCCTGCTCCCCAGGGCGAATTATTCCTGCCAGTATGGTAATTCCTCTTCTCATCTGCTGATCCCTGGGCACAAGAGTCAATGGAACTGCCAGGCAGCAGCCAGAATTTGTGGTTCAATAGCACTCTCACTTTGTCTACTTGCAGGAGTAAGATCCACTGGAAACCCTGCAGAACCTGGAGTTGCAGGGATAGAAAATAAAGACATTGAGTAGGTCATTTAGATGTGATGCTAAGTAGAGTGTTCTTGTTTCTTGATTAGTATTCTCAAGGAGTAGTTTCTGTTGATGGCAGACTGGACAGAGACAGTAGTAGCTAAATCGACCTTGATAAATGGGAGTCTTTCTTGTTGGGCCATGTATAACTTCCATTTCTGCCACTAAGGCCACTAGTTTGTGTGGCTCTTGTTTCTGGGCTGGGCTGGGTGATGAGGAAGGATGGCTGCCATCACCCGCATAGGTCACCTACTTGGATTTTTCTCTTCCATGGAAGCCCATTGACATGCTGCACAAAACTACTCACATGCATTGCCTATCCTCATACATTCATCCATATGTCTCCATCCTAGACCTCCATGTCTCTAGTCTTTCAGTCCTGTCCCTTCTAGGCCTCTGACCAGATATCCAAGCTGTTGGCCATTGCCCAGAAGTCTATGTATATTCACACCTCAGGCCACTTTTCCTTTCACACAAAACAGATAATCAAGTTCACCACTCACAGCTCTGCCCCCTAGAAGAATTATCACCCCTTCCCAGCTAGGTGATTACAATGCAGCCTCCATTCATTTTCAGCTTCACCCATATCCCAAACCTGTCCATCTAGTAGGTTGTCTAAAAAGTCTATTTAATTTTTTCCCATAAAAGATACATTTCATTTTCACCAATAGCATTATTGATTCAGATATTTTTTAAAGATTTTATTTATTTATTTTTAGAAAGAGGGGAAAGGAGGGAGAAAAAGAAGGTGAGAAACACCAGTGTGTGGTTGTCTCTAACGTGGACCCCACTGGGGGCCTGGCCTGCAACCCAAGCATGTGCCCTGACTGGGAATCAAACCAGCGACCCTTTGGTTCACAGCCCACACTCAATCCACTGAGCTACACCAGCCAGGCTGATTTGGATATTCTGATGTCAGCTATCTCCTGTGTGGTATAACATTGATTGTTCTCAATTAATGTCTTGATTTCATCACTATCAACTTCAGTTGGTTTACTGGATTGTGCAGTATGTCCAGTGAGAAATCTCCAGCACAAAACTTTGCAAACCACTTTTGACATGTTAGATCAGTCATGACACCTTATCCATACACTGCACAAATCTTTTTTGTCTGTGTTTCAGTTGTTTTTATATTTCTTGAAATAATAAAACATAAAATGCTGAGAATGTTGCATATTTTCTTCCATCTTCAATATTGAAATGGCTACACAAAAATTTACCAATTTTGGTAAGTTTTTTTTATGGAAACTGATATGACAGCTGTCACAATACAATCTAACAAAAATTTAAGTATATTTTATTGGTATTATTACAGTTTCCCAATTTTATCTCCCCTCCACCCCCCTCCACCCTGCACCTCCCACCCTTCAGCATCCCCCCTGCTCACTTAGTTCGTGTCCATGTGTTGTGCCTGGAGGTTCTTCGACTTCTCCATTTCCTCTACTATTCTTAACCTCCCTAATTTGTGCCTACCAATTATGATTCTTATTCCTTGTACCTTTTCCCCACATTCTCCCCCTTGCCCTCCCCACTGATAACCCTCCATGTGATCTCCATTTCTGTGATTCTGTTCCAGTTCTAGCTGTTTGCTTAGTTTTTGTTTTTTAGGTTCAGTCATTGGTAGTTGTGAGTTTGTTGTCATTTTACTGTTCATAGTTTTAGATCTTTTTTCTGAGATTATTCCCTTTAACATTTTATAAGGGCTTGGTGATGATGAACTCCTTTAGCTTGGCCTTATCTTGGAATCACTTTATCTGCCCTTCTATTCTAAATGATAGCTTTACTGTACAGAGTAATCTTGGGTGTAGATTCTTGCCTTTTGTGACTTTGAGTACTTTTTTCCAGCTCTTTCTTGCCTGTAAGGTTTCTTTAGAGAAATCAACTGATAGTCTTATGAGAACTCCTTTGTAGATAACTCTCTCCTTTCCACTTGCTGCTTTTAATATTCTTTCCTTATCTTTAATCTCTGGTAACTTAATTATGATGTGCCTTGATGTGTTTCTTCTTGGATCCTACTTCTTTGGACTCATTAAGCATCCTGGACTTGCATGTCCATTTCCTTTGTCAAGCTGGGGAAGTTTCCCTACATTATTTGTTCAAATGAGTTTTCAATTACTTGCTCTTCCTCTTCTCCTGGCACTCATGTGATTCAGATGTTGGAATGTTTACAGTTGTCCCAAAGGTTCCTCAGCCTCTCCTCATTTTTTCTGAATTTTTGTTTCTTCACTCTGCTCTGGTTGGATGTTTATTTCTTCCTTTTGTTCCAAATTGTTGATTTGAGTCTTATTTTCCTACCCCTCACTGTACATTGGTTGTTGGTTCCCTGTTGCTTTATTTCACTTTGTATAACTTTCATTTATTCCTTTATTTTGTGACCATATTCAATCATTTCTGTAAGCATCCTGATTACCAGTGTTTTGAACTCTGCCTCTGATGGGTTGTCTATCTCCTCATTACTTACTTCTTTTCTTGCAGTTTTGATCTTTTCTTTCTTTTGGGCCATATTTTTTTGTCTTGGCACACCTGTTACATTGTAAGGGGTGGAGCCTTAGGTATTCACTAGGGCTGGGCAACCCACTTCACCATGTTGTGGCACTGTATGTAGGGATGGGTCTGAGAGGGAACAATGCCACTTGTTCCCTTGCCTGGCTCTCACCCCACTGTCACTTCCCTTGCTTCCCACAAGCAAATTGGGCCATTCTAGTGCTAATTCTCAGGTGGGTGAGCTTGTGTAAGTTCTAAGATCCTGTGGACCTCTCCAACAGACTCTCCTGTGATACTCAGATTTTCCCATGGCTGCAACCCCCACAAATTTTTATACCCAGAGGTTCTGAGGCTTTATTTCCCAGCACTGGAACTTTGTGTTGTGTGATCTGTCTCACTTCCCAGTTGTTCCTCCCAGTTTATCTGCAGGCATATATGGGTAGTCCTGTCTGCCAGCCACTGCCTTGCCTGCTTGGTCCACCACCTTGCCACATGTCTTCTCTGCCATGGCTTCCCATCTCCGCCCCTCCTACCAATGTGGATGAATATTTCTTCTTTAATTCCTTGGTTGTTGGACTTCCATGTAGGTTGATTTCCTGACAGTTCTGGTTGTTTTTTGTTTTTAAGTTGGTTGTTATCCTTATTTTGGTTGTGCGAGGAAGTGACGTATTTCTACCTATGTCTCCATCTTGGCCAGAATCCATAATCTAACCAAATTATTTCAAATGACAGTAAAGACAACTCACTATTATAGCTATCCTACAGGAAAAAAGCAAACTTTTTGGCCAACCCAATAAAAACCTAAGGCAGGCTTTTATCCCTTCTTCAGATGTTGGTATGGAATCCTAATCCTCCCATGATGAGAGCTGGGGAAAGGGAATTAGTGCAGCCCTAAGAGATATGGGTTCTGGGCAACCTGTTCCTGCAGCTTACTCATGCCCTCTGGTCCTGGACCTACTGTGTCTGTCTCATGATAGATTGCTTCTTGATCTGTTTGTGTTTGTCTTGACAGATCCAGCTCATAATGGGAAATTCTAGATGAATGGTCAGTTGGAGTCCTATGGCCAAACATTTCTTTACTACCATGGTCAAGTAACTTACCAGGAACTGCTTCTCAAAGCTATAGAATTCTCTTTTGCAGATGACACAGCCTTGCTTCAGATCCCCATAGACCTTCAGTGTGAGTCTTCCACTAGGGTTTGCCATGTTCCTCATATTAGGTCTTTCTTACCCCAACACCAAACACCAACATGAAAGACTCTGCCTGATCATAGGGGCCAAGAGGCAGGGCTGTTTAGGACACAGCCTGGGCCTCCTGCGGAGCTCTTTCCTGCTCTGAACCCTCTCAGGGATGGCAGCCAGCTTTCTGTCACTCAGCACATAGGCTGGAGCAGTTTCTAAGTGTGGCATGTGTTGCTTCCAGAATCCAAGAGACCTGCCAGGTGCCATGGTTCCTTGTCTGCATTGGAGGCCACAAGATGCACACTTTGCCTCTTATTTGCAACAGATATCCTGAGTGAGCCTGGCCCTGCTGTGAACACTGTGGCTAAGCTGAAGTCACAGCAGCTGGAGACTGTTTATTAAGTACCATCCTCTCAGCACCTGAGCAAGCCACCCCCTGGGATGTTCCAACTTCTCAGTGAGCTTTAAAAATACCTGCCACGTGAAAGTAATAATAAAATGCAAGCAATGACAAAAATGTGAGAGCATATATAAGGAAAGGAAGAGGAATTTAAGCCTTATCTGAAATGCAATCTGTCTGCAGAACCCAACCAGGGCTTTGAGGTGTGCTGTTGAGGTGACAGGGACAGTGACCCCTAGCAAAGACACAATATGCCCCATGTCACTCAGTCAGAAGAAAGCCTTTTGTATTACTGGCTATTGTTTGTAGTCCCTTTCCAGAGCTCTCAGAACCAGTCCTTCATCAGTAATAATCCACATTTCTTTTACTGCCTAATAATTGATTTCCCTTTTTTCTCTCCTTCAGTTATCATCACTTAGCAGCTGTTTACAACTTAGTGGTGCTTTCTGCAAATTGTGTGCCTCCTTTCTTTATTCAACTGTTCAGAAAAAGATGATCTCATCAATATTCCCAACCTTTACCATTTCAATACCAACAATCTTGAATATACTTTTAAGTTGCATTGTCACTCCCAAGTTGTACTATTTCAAATACAGTGTTGTTCAGCATCTTCATATCTTCAGAATAATGCTTTGTGATTTTCAGTGTACCACAAGAGACATGCAATTGTCATCTTGTCTACCCAAGTCCCAGAGACCTCTTTTCCAGGAGGTCTCTTCTGTCTCAGTCACAGGCACAATTCCTTCATTCCTTCCCTCTATAGGGTGCCTCTTAACTCAAGACCCCTTCTTTAGAGATGTCTGGAAGGATGCCCCTTCCACTTTATCCACAAAGCTAAACAATATGCCCCTAAAAAGCTTCAACCATAGCAGCCCACAAAACTGCTCTGTCCTGTA